ATTTATGGTGAGTGGTAATAGGTTAATGTCTAAAAATCCAAATTCAAATCGAAATCCAGGGCCTTCTCAGTTCTGTTGGAAGAATCCCTCTCTGATTGTCTATATCTTCAGTGTTGTAGCTGTACTCACCACCCTTGGCCAATTGCGGGTTGGTAAGGCTATTTAACTCATAGTTGAATTTTTTTAATTTAGAGTTGACCTTCTAGATAGGTTGCCACCCAAGGCTATAGGACCTAGTCTGTCCTGATATTTACCCATAGCTGTGATATAAAAATAGCTTCTTTTTTATTTCCTAAAATATAAAGAAATAAAAAAGTTCCATAAAAAAACATTTTGAAAGAGAAATAGAAAAGCTTATTTAATTCTACATTTTTTAAGAGACTCATGTATCATGTAACTTTTTTAAGAGAGTCATACATGTATCATACAGCTTTTTTAAGAGAGTCATACATGTACCATACAGCTTTTTTAAAGAGAGTCATACATGTATCATGTAGATTTTCCATTTTTTTTAACATTGAAAACACCATTTTTTTTAAAAAATCACAAAGATAGATTGTAAATAATATGATCTATCATCCCATAGAATTAATATATAACCAGGCTATTTGAATTTATAGCATATTCTTATTAAATTAGTACTGAAACAATGTGGGATATGAAAGCATAAAATAAATTAATATATAAATAAACTAGTAGCATAGCCCGGCATTGCCCGTGCTTGATTCAAAAATTGTATGACTCATACAGCAATCACTATCACTTGACTTAAAATATTTTTACCCTTCCTTGCCTTTAAAGGAGTGTCCTTTGCCATGCTGATGTTGCTACATGCCTTACTTCTTGCCTATCTCACACTGCAAATTTTTTCTAAGCTCTATACTAAACATTAAATCTGTTACGAAAAAAGAACTAAACAAAATGAACACAAAATGATCAGCTTTAAAAAAGGACTTGTAACTGGAAAAACTGAATGAAAAAATGTTAACAACAAATACTTTTTCACATCCAACCCAGTTCTGCAGAATCAGAATCAACATTGAGCTTAAGCAAGCGAATGAGCCAATTGGAGTAAAGTGCTATGCAGATTTAAATTTTTCCCACTTGTGACGAATGCAGCTATCGAGTTTTTTGCATGCTAGCATGCTAGTTAACATTCATGTCAGTCAGCTGTTGGCTCTCACGCTGGCCAATAGAATCTTCCTGCCTATTCATGGCAGCCAGCTATAGGCTCTCACTCTGGCCAGTAGAAAATGGCTGCAAACTACATGAAAAATGCCGTAGAAGCATGAAAAATCGATTATTTCCATTATCAATGCGAGTTGGGAAATGCAAAGCCTTTCTGCTAACTTTGAGCATGTGCATGTAAATTTTGGTGCAAATCCGTCGAAAATTGTGGCCGTGCATTCGTTACACATCCTGTCTTTTATAGATAGAGATAAAAATAGAAACTGAGTAGAAATAAATTAAAAATGAATTTCTTAAACAATGAATTGGAAACAATAAATTAAAACATAATTTCTCATAACAATATAGTTAAAGTAAAAATCAAGCCTTCATTTGATTAATGTAAATCATCTTTTGTCTCCTAATGTAGATTTTGTTGAAATGAAATCCTTTTTCTAATGACATTGATCTTTTACCAAAACATGTCAAAATAGAAGTTTTCCGAATTGTCTTATATATTTACCATTTCTCCCATCTGTAATAAAATGAAATCATATGTACACAAGTGAAAGATTTTATAAAAATTATTCTAGATATTAAATCTTTGTGTAATCATTTTGAAAATCCCTAGCATGATCATGAATCCTATAACCCATTAGTCCCATAGATAGGGTTGGTGCATACTAACCCCCTGACTGAGGGGGAGACAAGCTGGTTGGGGCCCCTGGTAGTGCTTTATGAATCTCACTATTTTATCAACATTTGCTTTTTCTACCTGCATATACAGTGTAACCCGGATATAAGAGAGTTGTCGGGACCAGAGAAGAAGTCTCTTATATCCGGGTTTCTCTTATATCCGGGTTTGGTCTATTTTATATACATTAACACAGGCTCTAATTTGGGACCAGATAAAATCTCTCTTATATCCGGGTTTCTCTTATATCCGGGTCTCTTATATCCGTACACTGTACATTAGATAATAAACTAAGTAAAACTATTAGTATTAAAGGATGAAAAATTTTCACAGATTTTGATGTTATTCTAGGATCTTTTTTCTCATCCAAATCTGTGAATTTGTTTTGCTCATGCTAAGTTTAAAAAAAAACATTATCTAAAATTCACTATTTTTTATCCATAATGTTGAATATATTAAAATTATTCAACTTTTTTTTTATGATTTATTTAAGATGGAATGATACCTTATGACATGTCTCTCAAATTTGTATTTAGATACATTGTATTCATTTTCAATTTTTCTAGTCAAATTGTTCACCTATATTGCATATGATCCATTATTGTTCATAATTAGATTACAATAAAATTTGTATTTTATATCAATACTACCTTATGAAAATTGAGATGCAAGTAGAGTGGAGGAGTCTCATATCATAGATGGCAGTGGAAAATGAGACACTTGCACTAGCTGTGCCCATAGAGACACTACATGTACTGCAGCCATAGAAACTGTAGGTTTGTTTAGGGCAAAACATTTCCTTTTCAAGCAGGTTTTGAATTCAGAGTTATCCTTCTAGACTGATTACCCTACCAAGGTTAAAGAGTCCAGTTTGCCTTCTTATTTAACATAGCTGGTAGATGATGGTTTTAAGGTTTCAACAGAACAGACTTGATCAGAATTTGAATCTTGATCACTGATTTCACTATCGATGTTGATAGTAGTTTGCATATCCAGTTAATAGAATTTGTAATATTTAAATTGTTTTGAATCAAAAGAGACATTGTACTTTCTTATACAAGTATATTTTTGTTTTTTTCTTCTAAAAAATAAATAATGACCTCAACAGGCTGAATAATGACTTAAATCATTATTTGTGTTGCTTTTATTGTCAGCACAATTTTTTGGCTAAATCATTCTACTGTTAAATAATAGTTTTGCAGATTATTACATTTTAGAGGAAGTGTATTTTTGAGGTCAGATGGAAGACAAAATAAGGAAGTATTTTTCATTGGCTGAACAAGCATGAGAAAGGAGACAGATAGAGAAAGGTTTTTCAGTGAGTTGAGTCTTAACCATCAAACAATGTAGATGTGTTTTCTTTCATGTCTGAAGTGGCTCCCCAGTGAAGAGAAAACAACCCCCACGGGATAGATAGAATGTGTTGACATGAATGTTAATAAAATATTCAGGTTAAAATTACCTGTGTTTTTATCTCTGGACTCAAAACAACTAGTGATAACCAGCCAAAAGAGAAAAATGCAACTTTATTATCAAATTGATGCTGTCGACCAAGACCGTCCAGCCTGAGAGGCTATACAAGACTACAACCTACAACAGGAAATGAACTGAAACAATTCCTATATTAACCACTGTCTTTTTTATTTTCACCAACTATCTCTGTAGAAAGGAGATTTATCATTTTCCTTACAGATTGTACAACCAAAGAAAGCCGTAAAATAAATTGACAAGTAAATTGACTGAAACATTGTGGCAACAGCAAAAGCAGCACAAAGAATTAATTCAATAATAAGAAACACTCTTTGAATTATAATGGCAATTCTCAAAGCTACAGACAGTATTTTTGTTTTCGTTTTTGACACAAATATTGATTACTTGTTGCCATATTTTTCATAGCTACTTTCATTCTTCATGTTTCAAAATTGCCTTATGGAATTACTTATTCTCATCAAACTATGGACAGCTAAACAATCTTTTCAATTTTTTTTGACCAGAATACATAAAATGACATTTTATTACAGATGGAAGAAAAGAAAGGCCATTTGATATATGGCTGACTTAATGAAAGTTTTAAAAAATCTTTTCACTTTCTTTCCTAAAACTATTATTTCCTCATGTATTTTTTCTTTCTTTATTAGAAACAGATCATTTTAAACATATAGGTGATTTTTCTTAATCAGCAAAGTTTGGTGTAGAAAGTTAATATTATTCTAAAATCCTAATTTGGTTTGGTTTGGTTTTTCTTTTATGGCATATCAACCTCAATGGGTTATTTAATGCTCACAAGATTTTTATTGCTGGTAATAATTTTTTCAAAAATGTACTGCTGGTAATATTTTTTTCCTTAAAAAATGTATTGCTGGTAATAATTTTTCTTCAAAAAGTTATCGGTGGTAATAATTTTTACAAAAATGTATTGCTGGTATTAAAATCTATTTTTACACTTTTATTGTGTTTTGACCCCAGTTTGGGGGTTAACTATTTGCCCATAGCTAGGACCCTAATGGTGCTTTTTTTTTTACAAAAATGTATTGCTGGTAATATTTTTTTTCCCCAAAAAATGTACTGCTAGTAATATTTTTTAACAGGTGCTACCACTCTGAGTCAGGGTGGACCTGGGAACACCAGCAATTAAGAGGTGGTTCCACGCTCCTCAAAACCTCCTGATCAGAGGCCTTGCTGCTGGATGTAGTTTATCATCATACCCAGGATGCAGATGTAGTTTATTGTCATACCCAGGATGGTCTAAAATCCTAAAGCTAATATTATTCTTGTATGTTACATCCACAAAAAACACACACTGCCTTGAGTACTGTTTAATTTTTCTACAATTATCTATCTATCTATCTATCTATCTATCTATCTATTTATCTATATATATATATATATATATATACACACACATATATATATATATATATATATATTAAATGTGTGTGTGTGTGTGATGGATTCTCCTGTCATTTGCAATGTATGAGGACCCAGCAGTTCAATTTTAGAACTGAATTATAAGACTACCTACACATACGATTTGAATACTGTGATGATAGCTTGTATGGAAACAGCCACACTTTTCTGAAGAAGTTTATGACAAGGAAATGGTGCACAGTGTAACACAAAATCTCCAAAACAGCCTAGCTTATGGCCATATCACTTTGAAACACCAGTTCCCATACGATCACCAAAGTTAAGCAATGTTGATATTGGTCAGTACCTAGATAGGTGACCACTTGGGATTATCAGGTGCAGTAAGCTTGGATGTGCATTTGGTGTAATGGCTTGGAACTGTTAATTGGAGAGCTGAGTTCCGATTCCAGTTGGGTTCATTATATTCTCTTACACACAAATACCCTTGGGAAAGATATGAATCCACCCCTCCTCCTCTGTCTATAGGTTAATTAGTAAGACTTGTATCACTAAACTGTTATTATCTCAGAAAAATTCTTACAATCTAAAAATATTTTCTAGCTTTAAATAACCTGCAAAAAAGCCAATAAAAATGAATGAACCAATCAATCCAAACAGATGTGAATTCAGAGTTTTTCTTTTTCTAGATTACCGTACCCAAAGTAAAATAGATCTGTCTTATCTGGTGCTTCTGCTATGTATTTAGAGATTCTTGATAAAATCCAAAGAAGAATCTGCAAAGTTATTGGTCTTGGTCTGAAATCTCAGCTTCAATCATTTTCCCACCACCATAACATAGCTTCTCTCTGTCTTTTCAAAAAATATTCCCAAAGCAATTTTTCTGATCAGTTTTCCTCTTTGTTACCTAGAATTCATGAATTTAAGAATAGTAGTAGATTGACAGTTAGGTCTCATCATTTTACTTGAAGTTGCTCGATAGAACCATAAGTTCAATTCAAATATTTTTTTCTCTTGCACTTCTCGTTAGACAACAATCTTCCAGTTTCTTGTTTTTTTGTCAACTACAACCTTCAAAAATTTAAAGGCAATGTCAAATGTCATTTTCTGTCTCCATGAACCTTGTTCTTTTTATTATCCTTTCTCCTCAGCAGTGGTTTCCCAATTTCTTTCACTCTCAGTAACCCTTTGTGTCTTAGTGGCTTCATCACCTTACTTGAGGGGAAATGATTAATATATATATATATATATATATATATATATATATATATATATGAAAGAGTGCTAAAGATTTCTTGGTTTGAGCCACCTGCCAAAATCTGACCAAAGGAACAATATCAGAACAATAACAGCGACCTCCAACATCAGAACAATAGCAGGCACCCACTCAATCCCATGCTTAACCACTATGTCTAGCATCTCAATGTAGGCAATGACATTGATCCTGAATTGTTGTACCATGGGATTCGCAAAGAAACACCTGTTATTCCTCCTGTTAACCTGACCATTTTCAAGAGGCTTGCTTGTTTTGATTGGATGCTAGTGCCGTGAGCATAGTGTGCCTTTTCATTTCTTGTGTTTGTTTGGTGAATGTAATGCTAATCCATTAATGTCCAGTAATAATTATCCAGTAAAAACTAAAATATCCAGTATTAAGGGTTATAAAATTCTGGTCTTAATTATAGATTTCTATGTATAATCCATTGACGCTCACAAAAATATGATGATTGGCACATTATCAGGAACATTAACCCATTAATATGGGTTAATGTTCCTGATAATATTTCAAAGAGAAACATGAATATGAAAATTTGGTACATGTCATGTAATACTGAATTTTTTTTTTAATCATTTCACCCAAAGCAAGACAATAAAACCATGAAGATGCAAAAGGTTACTGAGTTTGAAAGAACAAATGAAAAAAAATTAATTAAAGAGAGAGAATAATAAAAAAAAACTTTGCATTTATATTTTTGAAGATCAAAGTTGACTGAAAAACAAGAGACTGGAAGAGATTTCCACAAGTGAGAAGTGCGAGAGAAGAAACTGTTAGCATAGAACATATGGTTACATCTAGCCATTTCAACTGTAAAATGATGAGACCATGCCACCAATCTAGTAATATGTTTAAATTCATAATGTTGAGGTACTAAATAGGAAAACTCATTCATTACCATGAAAATAAAATAAATATTTTAAATTTATTTTATTTTCATTTTATTGTCTAGTTATGGCCTGCTAAAGGTACATTCTCAAATAGCTATCACACCCTGTGTACGTATATATATATATATATATATATATATATATATATATATATATATATATAAATAAACATTCTCAAATGGAGTGCATTTTAGAAGATACAAAATGAATAAAATAAAAATAAAATAAAATGAAAACTATACTTAGTTGATATTTTTTGTCCTCTGAGGAATTGCCTTGATAAAATCCTTCAGAGGACGAAATGTGTCGACTAAGTATAGTTTTTCTTCTTGTTCTTCTTTTATTCATCTCTCTCTCTCTCTCTCTCTCTAGATATATATATATATATATATATATATATATATATATATATATATATATATATATTTCAACTAATCTATTAGCCACTATCAAGGATGATTTTTGTTTAACTTAATATGTAGATTTTTATATATGTGTAAGGATGGGGATGTTTTTTTAATTTCCAAACATGGTCAGAATGCTGTGGCCGTGTTCATAGTTGATATTATTGAGAGTTGGTTTCTTCTTTTTTATTAATGCTTTCATTATTTTTAACGTTTTTTTTTGTGTGTGGATGAGTCTTTTTATGGTCATATTTTCCACAAGTATGTTGTGGATAGATGTTAGGTTTTCATATGTGTTTAAATGGATCCTAGTAGAGCTATGATCTGAGAGATGTAAAGTAAGACTTCTTAATAAGCATGGCCATATGTCCATTATAATTATTATTCATGAATTTGTTTTCATAAGGAACGCAGTTCTGTAAGAGGTATGTAAATTTATAAATAATATTCTCTGTAGCTTGAATTGTTGTGTCCATAAAAAGTAAATAGATGAAAATTAATTATAGTGTCAAAAAATAATTATAATAAAGTAATTATAACAATTATAATTATCATTAATTCACTCTCTCTAAACCAATGATAACTGAACCCACTTTTCTCCTCTAGACACAAATACATGACATTCTCACTATTGGACAAGCAGTTCATATGGACAGGTCATTAACACATGTGTCAATGAAAATTTCATCTCCTTTTTCTTTTCAGGCCATAATAGTAACATTTATCTTTTAGCACTCAGCATAAATTTGAGGTAAGAAAACCCCAGACACTTCTTGTATTTTCTAATTATCTGGACACTCATTACACACATTTATAAAAAAATATACAAGAAAGACTGTATACACTTTACTTATTCTTTATCTTATTCTTCTGTTGGATTCTGATCCATATTTGATCTACATTTGACCCCAAACAATTTATTCAGTATTAGTTTCTCTTATGTTTCTCACACCAACTAAACAACCAGATAATAAATAAAACTCATTTTGTTGTTTCCACATCTCATTGTTTCTCATTTTTATGAGTATTTTTGTATATGTAAATGTTAAGGAGTGTATAAACACAAATGGCTTCCTAATGTAAAGTTCTACCTCAAGTGGCCCCAGGTCCTTGTAAAGGGTCACCCTCACTGTAAAAAAAAAAAAAATTCCAATGTATTGTGGATCAGACATGTTTGACTTGAAATTTGTCATTTTAAAATTAGTTCAGCCTAGATTTGAACTCCAATTACTAGCAAAAGAGCAAAATTTCTTAGCTGTGTGCCTACAAAAGTAAACTACTTTGTCTGATGAAAATGTGCCTATTTTAAACCAGTATCATCAACAGTGTTGCCATAGGTTTTTAACAAGGAAAATGGCATTTTGCCAATTTTCACAAGAATACATTAAATCCAACATACCCAACAAATATCAATTTACAGCTGTTTCTAGATGTCATTAATGGCATTTTATAAATTTCATTTTAAACTTCTTCATATAATAAACTTATGGAGTCTCTATGTTTCTTATGTGAACATAAACTAAGTTTTTTTTTTGCAAACATTGATAAACATGCCTGCAATAAGACAGTGTCAAAAGGACTTTTTTTGTCATGACACTGCTTTTTTAACTACCTTTTTATAAAACCTAAACATATGAAAGTAAATTTATACATTTTCTTTGTTCTTGGGAATTTATAACAAAAATAATAAACACTGTTTGTTTAGTAGATTGTTTATTTACACTATTTATTTATTAGATTGTTTATTGAAATGTTCACACTGCTCAGACAGCAAAGACTTCATTGGTTAGGCCACATCCACTGCATGCCAGATGGCCATATCTCCAAAGACCTCCTGTATGGAGAGTTGGTTTCTGAAAGGAGACCCACCGGGCAGCCACAGCTGCAGTACTGCGATGTTGTGAGAGACAACATAAAAGCTGTGGACATCAAAACAGAGTCCTGGCAGCTATATGATCCAAATGGAGAGGAACCCTGACCAAACACCTCAAGTCACCACGGAAAGGCAGGCCCACAGAAAGCAAAGTGACAGCTTCAACAGACCAGAGAGAGAACACACATGCGACCTCTGCAACAGAGATTGTCACTCCCATATTGGCCTCTACAGTCACAGGCATTGATGCTCCAGCTAAGTAGACAACTAGGATGCTACCCATGGTCAATCCTGACAGAGGCCTATAAAATTGAAATGGTTGGTAAAACATCGGCTAATTGCCAATAGATTCAAACTTTATAAAATGGCAAATAATAAGGATTTCCTTATAGTTGGTTCACATATTTTAGTAAATTAGTAAATGTTTATAAATTTATGAATAAAAAATTGTGTTCACATTTATTTCTTAATAAATTGGTAAATGATAAATATTGCATTGCATTAGTTATAATTGTATTAGTTTTTAGAATGTTGCAAATGAAAATTATTCTTGTAAATAAAAAATCTAATAAACATGCTAGAGGTGATTTTGTTTGCAAAGCAAAAATTTTATCCTGCCACTGCAAGTGACTCAAATGAATGAATAATAGCATGTTTGATTTTTGCAGTTGTGTTGTCATATCCTGCTATGGCAACAGAAAATGATCATGACTGAAATTAAGTTGTGCAGTAGAGGAGCCTTGAAAAGCAATGCAATGGAAAGGAAAGTAGTAAATAATGCAGAGTGTTAAAGGTTAATATTTTTGTTGTAAATTCTCAAGAACAAAAAAAATGTATAAATTCACTTTCATCACATATTTAGGTTTTATGCCAAATCTAATCATTGTTTTTTAAAAACAATAAGCATTGTCAGAGTGAAAGTTGTTAAAAAAGTGGTGTTATGGA